AGCCGCGCCCCGACGCCATCGGGCCGTCGCGTCGTGGCCCGGCCGTAATTAAATCGTGTACAGATTATAGAATAAAAGCTTTCGTAAAGAATACGGTAAATATTCATCGAATAAAGTTGTGTAAAATTCGAATACAAATTAGGAGTACGCGAGCCGAACGTTTCGTGCGCAGGATCGATCGTTGCGAAGTTCCAGATTATAATCTTCCGTTTCAACGACCACGAATCAACGAATCTCGTTTTACGTTAGAAACGAATAGAAACGCTGATGGAGATTACTATAATTCGGAAAGAAGCCACCCATCCACGATACACGGTATCTCGAAAGGTCTAACGTAGAACTTTTAATGGTTACTAATTTTCTTTCAGCAATTTTTATACGACTTAGATTAGATTTTTATTAATTTTCTACATAATATCGTTCGTAAAAAGAACGAATTCGATCGAATGATTTTTAATCGTCGCATTTGTAACTTCTATTCGAGGATTACGATCGGCGGTAGAAAATTTATACGAAACGAGTAAATAACGCGACCGATAAAATTAACGTTTCATGGAATAAAATTTTCACAGAACGAGCGCAAACAAGGTTCGGCGAATCGATCCTGCGCGCCTCTTGATCGGCTTATTTTCTATCTTTTCCCCTTTCTATTTAATACGTATCGTTAATCGTTAATCGTTAACGGTATTCTTAAATTCTTCGTATTATTGTATATATTTAGTTCGGAAGATAATACGGATGTTTATTTTATCGCTGCACGTACGTATTCGGATATTTGCTCCTGTTTTGTCGCGTTTACGTCCCGCCGTCGTTCCTTCTCGTCCTGTTCGGGCGGAAAAAACGCAGCTGATAGGACGTTTCCGATATACCTACATATACATATATATATATATTTTTTCATTCCTTGATTCGTCTCAACTTTATACTCGAACGTCGATTCGCGTAGCACAAAATATCTCGAGTCGAAAATTCGAAATTGCAGCTTCTGCGCTAGAGAAAAATTTCGTCTTACGAATCTGTCTGCCTTGCGAATTTCAACGGTCTTATCTCGGGTTTTTTTTTTTTAGCTTACCTTAATTCGTACAAGGAAATAGAATCGTGCGAAAATTCTCGCTAATCATCGACAGATACGTTACCCGTTGACAAACGTAGAGAATTTTGATCTTTCTCTGGAAAGTTCAACGGAAGCGAAAGAACGCGTGAAAAGCACGTAGATCGTAAAAAAGAGGAAAGAATCGCTAAGCGGTAACCTCGCAGTATTACCGGCGTTATCGAAGCATTAAATTATCTGCACACTGTTTTTTTTAATATTTATTTCTTTATTTTACATTGTCATGCGATTTCCGCGTAAACTTATAAATGGATATTATTGTGCCATGCGAACGCGATCCTCATCGAATATCCTGACTCAGCCCTCGTGTTATTTTCGTTTCCTTGGTACAGCTTAATCCTAAAACACGACGAGTCGTGATTCGTTCGCACCGCATCGAACGTCGCAATTTCGTTACATCTTCTCTATATTTTTTTTTCCCCCTTCTCATCGTATCTTTTTCCCTTCTCTTTTTCCTTTTTTTTTCTCTTTTTTTAACATCGTAATAATCGTAATATATTTTCTAGGTAAGGATTCTCTTAAGCGCATGTACAGAGATAAAACTTTCCTCTACGTTTTGAGCATACCGCGCGGCTTCATTTTTTATTATTTTTTTTTTCTTACCTCTTATTTTATCAATATTTTACTTTATTTATTTTTATCGCGTATCCCCTTGGATTTCCCATTTTTTCTTGTTTCTCTTTTCGCGCAGACTGCACGCTGCCCGAACGAGCGATATTTCATTTAATAGGTATCCGTAGTAATATCTAAAACCACGTTTAAACGCCTATGTGTGTGAATCGATTCAACGGCTAGTCTACGAGAGAGCTGAACAGCGTTTCAAATAACAAATACCGCGTTACCCTGCAGAAAACTTCGATTGCGTTTCGATCCCGTTTCGCGTCACATCCGTGAAACAGGCGCTGAATCGGTACAAAAGTGAGAGAAATCAGCGGGGAAACGAGTAGCAGCGTAATCGTTGCCGCGATTATCTGTATTTATCTTTGGCGAGATCTCGCAACGGTTCGCAGCGTGTAGAAAATAAAGAAACGAAAAAAAAAAAAAAAGAAAGGAAAGAAAAACAGATTCCGACGCGATTCCCGCGATCGAACGAAACGTAGCTTTCCACCGGTCTAGTAATTATTATTTGACCCACCATTTCACTCGGTTTCGCTTCGCGATTGCGGCCTTTTCTCACCTATGCTCCACGCGTGTATTCTTGTACGTACAGATGTATATATTTATATATATATATATATATAATGGTCGATAGATGCACCAGATGCTATTTCCCCTATTCCTTTGTTTTGTCTTCCTTTGCCTTGATTACTCGTCATTGTGCGTCGTTTCGAATGACATGACGATGATCGGTATGTGGATAAATCGCGCGAACTCGGATCGAATAGGGTAACGAGCGCTCTCGCGTTGCCTTCTATATTTTTCCTCGCTCTCGTTCTCCTTTCGTTTTATTTATCTGCGCGAGTTTACGTTGGCTCGCGAGCGTGTTCCTGCAAAGAGAAAGAAGGCGGACGAAGTTGGTTCATAGGGTAACAGAGAGAGAGAGAGAGAGATAGAAAGATAGATAGATAGAGACGGGCGTAAAAACGAGGGAAAAGGGCGCGATTCTCTTCTCGTCTATTCGAAAACGACGATCTCGATTTATGCTTACGACCCAGCTTCGTTCACCTTCTTTCCCCTTTTTCGTTTTACGGCCTAACGAATCGGCGATCGAAATGCCAGAGAAACAGATCCTCCGCTCCGGTTCTCGTTAAACGTCGAGCGGCTGAGTTCCTTCGATTTCGTCGCATTCCCGCGATATGCCTATTTCGTAATAATAATACATACGTGGTATTCGTATAAATGTAAACAAACGTGTCCTGCCGGGGACTGGCTGGCTTATCCGTAACGGGCAGCGACGATCGCGACGAACGTTCGACGATCGATCGAACGAAACGGCCGCGGCGGAACGTTCCAGCTGCGAAATTAAAAATAATCCCAGCGAGTCGATGGCCGAAGATACGCGGTCCACGTCACGGTAACACCGATCACAGAAAGTTCGCGTTAATTAACGTGTCTCGCGATATTTCTCCGTTTTGCGATCGAGAGACGACGACGAAGAACGATACAAAATCAATGTCCCCGTCGTACACCGGGGCGAGTACGTTGCAGAGAAATAGGAACAGAGACGAATATGGGAACAGACTACTTGGTTGCCCGTGTAACCTAATTCAATTCCTTTGTATTTAGTTCGTTATAATATATTTATATATATATATGTATACAGAGTGGTTGGTAACTGATGGCAGAAGCGGAAAGGGGGTGGTTCTACGCGAAAAAAGAAGTCGAAAATATGGAATACAAATGTTTCGTTTGAGGCTTTGTTTACGAGAAAATCGACTTTGAATTTTCGCTCGGTATGCGTGCACTTTATCGCGTCTCGTTATAACGGATCTCACTATAGATCGTTGTCTAGATGGAAAAATTAAAAAAAAAAAGAAATTAAAAAAGAAGTTTTATTCTATATTTTCGACTTCCTTTTTCGAGTACAATCATCCCCTTTCCGCTTGTACCACCTGTTACCAACCACCCTGTATAATAAATTCCCTTAAAAGTATTACAATTCTTCTTTCTATCAATGCTTCGCGCTATCAACCGTGTTTGATATATGTATAGTTCAACGTTACGAGTTTCATCGAGCGTTCCGTAGCGTTCCGTAACGTTCCGGACATCTTTTACACGGTATCCTGTATAATTTTTCATTCTCGCTAAGTGTACGCACGCGTGTGTATGTATGCGTGTATGTAACGTACGTATATTTTCCTTAGTTAACTATACGTCGTTCATAGAGCTGGTATTTATATAACGTTGTCTCCTAAGCACACGCCTATTTATATATTTATACGTGATGAATATACATGGATCTATTCATACGCGCTCGCGTCTATATTTATACGTTTATGTATATTCGCGGGGCCGAAGCATGCGTATATGTATATGCATGTTTGTTATTAATACGATGCGCTTTACAATAACTCTTTCTTCTTTCTTTTTTCTTTTGTGTTTGCGTCCGCTTGAAACGAAATCGCTTAAACGTGTAACAAGTACTTTAACGACCACGCGCTCTGATTCCTGCACGCTGATCGCCACGCCATCCGAGATCCAAACGCATCCACGTCTTCCCGAGGCTAACCGAAAGCAGCGCAGCGAAGCACGGGCAATGATAAAATCCGCTGTGAGAATTTTTCTAGCGTTTGACAGCGATGGAAAAATCGATCGTACATTGGCG